AAATGGTTCATAGTACACTGTATTTTCGGGGGCGGAGCTACATACGTCACAGAACGTTCCACGTTGCTAAGATGCATATTACTGTATTTATATGGGCTCTGTACGAGCTGCTGTAGAACGTCAGTCAAAGAGCCGGTGAAAATAACTAAATTTGAGAAAACTTTGATGTAATCCTGGCCAACCAAGTTCATATATGTTGCACATGTAGGGGGTAATCTTGTTGCCCTGTTCAGGACCTTAACCTCAACAACTATACCAAAGCACCGTTTTCTGGGAGTTTTCAGCCTTTGTTTTACCATGATGGTTGCTAGGTGGTGAAAATACCCGTATGTCTGCCTCCGAGAATAGCTTTGTATGTGGAATGGAGTGTGCAGATATGAGTTGACATACATCTAAGGGATTGCATTAGCTATTTATGTCACGATGCATCTACTGGGACATGTAATTTATAATGTATTGTCTTGTCTTTTGAAATGACAAATGGCAATTCTTGTTTCTCTCTTTGGTAATTCGGAATGCAGACTTTGTAGTTAATGCAAGCCCTGCTATACCTTACATATAGCCATACCTACTTTCAAGTAATTGAATTACACATGTAGTATGCAGTTGTGATTGCCAGCCTACTGATCTATTTTTAGCACACTCATCTTCTCACATGGTAATTGAGGTTTGACATCTATACTGGACCCTTGGTCAAAGGCTAAAAAAATAATTGCCATGACCAAACAGGCGGGCACTCATGATTTTTCACTGTGTCATCTGTTTTATAAAAATGTATAAAGTATGACAAATACATGACACTAAAAACAAAGAAAACCTTGTTTTTCACCGTGTCATCCGTGTTACAATAATGTATAAAGTATGACCATCACATGACACTACAAAACAAAGAAAACCCAAGGCTGGTTTCAGGTAGATCTCAAACTGCATTAAATATATCAGTGTACATGTATGTAGGTATTGATTCTACATTGAAATTATTACATTTTTCTCTTTTACCAGTATTTGAAAGACACAGAGAAATGACGTTGAGTCAGCTGAGCTGTATTTTTGTTTCTACCTTGCCATACTTTTACTTGTGTGTTTGATTGCTAAACATATAGTCTAGTTGTTGTCTATGTCTGCTTTGAACATTATAATGCTAGATACTGATAACCAGAGTTTTATCACATGCAAGTCTGTTCATAGCCATTATTTTAGAAGCTTTGAAAGCTCTTCTGTGACGTAAACTGAGAGACCAACATGTTCAAACCGAAAATGCACCATGTATCAAAATTACTTTTACTTGCTAAAGTTGTGAATTCATGCAAGCAATCCTGCTATGTACATGTAGATAAATAGTCCTGTTTGAGGATAGCATCATGCTCAGTAATACCGTTTTATTGTAAAAAAAAAAGGGGGGGGGGTATTTTTCGAGGCAAAATCGTAAAAGCAAAAATGTTTGATTCTGTCCCAAAAAAATTTTTTATATAAATACATGTTGGCAGAACCCTACGATATCCTCAAATAGCCTACATCTACATGTATTAATATTCTTCATGAAAATATTTCATTCCCTCCTTTTAGATAAGCACACATGATACTAAAATTAATTATCACAGGGTAATGTGCTGTCATCTCAAGGGAGAATGAAATGACTCATTTTTCAGGAGTAATTCGGGATATTTAAACATGTCATTGCTCTTAATTCAAACCCAGTATCAAGATTCCAGTTCATTTTCCAGATTTGTAAATAGTTGAGATTGAGAGCAGTCTTGCATAATCTGGGGGAGTTTTAGTAGCATTTGACATGAACTCTTGTAGAATTCAAAAAAATATTAAAACTAGTCAAGTGATTATGATGCATTTTGATGATTTTAATTTTCACTGGTTATCAATATTTGGTATGCTGTGCGTTAAACTATGCCATTGTTTGTCCTGTTTATTTAGTTTCTATAGTTTTCTACATACTAACTGTGGGGATTGATGAATGCATGGCAATTCTGACTGGTGTATGTGTATAGTTGTTAGTTACTTGGCCATAGTACTTCTAGTTGTCACCCTTCCTAAAAGTTTTCACTCTTTAAATAAACCTGTTATACATTGCCACCAAATTTTTACCACACAAAGTGTTCTATAATTGCATAATTTGTAGACCTGCAAATGTTGACTTACAAATGCTGTAAATTAAACATTGAAAATATGGCTATGTATATCATGTTTTGTATCCAGTTGAGTGATTTAGCTGGTACTATATTTACTAAGGATAAATAAAGATCTTGTTTCTTTTTTCTGCCAATGAATTTGCAGTCAGCCACTCAGTCAGAACTTT